ACCAGGGCTGCCGATATTCAAAATGCCATGTCTGCATGTGTCTTCCAAACCCCCATCAAAGGCTGCTTCATGCCTTAAAGTTAAGGGAGAGGAGCAACCCTCTGAAAAAGTGGAGAAAGAGAGGAAAGAAGTCTGATGGCTCTTTCAAAGGATTTTCATTTGAGTCGTCCTAAAGGAATTGGCAGTGCTGTTTGCTGCTGCAAGGGGGAAAGCAAGGAGGAAAGTGGTGGTGCAAGATAAGATGAGATGTCTTACTCTGCTGTTCATACACCAAGTCCTTATCACCATTACTTGAGCCTGCTGGAATAGCCAGCTACCACTCGGCCTAAAAATAAGCTTCTTATCTCCAGATGTTTTTATAAATGGCCAGCCATTGTAGCTGGTGCTTCCCCACTGCTGTTGGCAGCCCATAAAGGTCCAGCTTCCCTTGTCATTACAGGATTAGCTTCACTCCCCACAGCATCATCCCTCCAACAAAAGCATCTCAGATTCGCTCTTCCAGAGCTACCTCTAGCAACGTGCCCATCTCCTTGCAGGTTTTATGGAAATGCAGGCTCCCTCTGTAGTTTTTCAGGCCTTTTTCTGCCTTGGTGATTGTACCCTGAAGAGGCAAGCCTGTAAGGTTTTATCCAAGAAGTTTTGGTCAACCAGGAGCAGGACTGTCCCCTGAAACCTTTACCTGAGAGAGACAAAAGGCCAACAAACACTGATGCAGAGACCCTGAGCAGTGGAGTGGCATATAGGGGGAAAGCCCTGCATAAATACCCCTATTTGGGAGTGCAAGCCAGGCTCTGAGAGGCAGATCTACCCCAGCTGTCAAAACAGAAAGCAGCAAACTCTGCTCACCTGCCTTTGCCCCAAGTTGTGTCCCAGCAGAGACCCAACACGCAGTGCAGGTGAGAAGGAAGGCTTGCTCTGGGGCAGGACAGTTCTGCTGTGCTGGCCCCACACCTCACAGCCTTTCAGCAGCACAGAGGAGCTTTCGCTTTGACTTTGCCATAGGAACCTGTATTCTAGCTCTAGGACTGAGTCAGCATCAGGGTCCGTGTCATGCCTTGCTACAAGTGCAGAAAATGCCTGAAGTGTCCTGAGTTGAGTTCTGCTTCCTGCTGATGGCAAAGGTGCAAGCTAAACCCCACCGTTGCCCACCCAGGCTCACATGCTGATCTCTTCCATCCCTTCTCCCAAATTCCCCTGTAGCAGTGTGCCCAGGCAGCTTTGTTCAGAGTAGGGAAA